CCGGAGAAAGGGGCCCAAGGGGAGGTTTCTGGTCTCCTTGTGTGATTTTAATCCCAATCCTCCCCTTAGCCGTGAAGTTGTAACAGCCAAACTATTCTTTAATAAACTTTTCTGTGGAGTGAGAAAAAAAAAAAAGAATTTAATGGTTTAACATGCACAAGCAGATTTCAACAAAATTTTTCACATTCAGCATACTCAGGACCACCTGAAATTAAGAAATAAGATAATCTCTATAGCATGCCACTAAGAATTCCTTTCTATAGCAACTACACATCTTCATTTCAGTTTTTAAAATACTGGACATTTATGTACTATTTTGCTCAAATAGAAACTTTCCTGGTGGGGAAAAAGGTCAAGAATATTTAAAATTCAATGTATCTGCTAAAAGTTATACAATAACTACAAATATTACTATCATGGACAGAAGGAAATTTTCTCACAAATTCTTCTTCCCAGGGCTTCCTTTATATCTCTGTTCCTCAAGCTATAAATGAAGGGATTTAGCATGGGAGTCACTACCATGTACATCAGAACCATGACTGTCTCACTGTGGAATTATTAGCTGATGGACATAAGTAGAGGCCAATGACTGTACCATAGAACAGTGACACCATAGAGAGGTGGGAACCACAAGTAGAGAAAACTTTTATGGATATGTCTAGCAGAAGGGATGAGAATAGAGAACACAATCTGTGTATAGGAAACGAGTAGAAATAGAATGACAAGAATGATTCCTCCCATGACAAATATCACCAATTCATTTATACTAGTGTCAGAGCAGGCCAACTTTAAAAGTGCAGAAATGTCACAGAAGAAGTGGGGGATCACACTGTCCCCACAAAAAGACAATCGGCCATCAGCAGGGTGTGCAACAAGGCATGGAACATGGTCAGCACCCAGGAGAGCACCACCAGGCACACACAGAGTTTGGGGCTCATGATGCTGGTGTAGTGCAGGGGGAAGCAGATGGCTACATAGCGGTCATAGGCCATGGCCACAAGCAGAAAGCTCTCCAAGTCTCCAAACAACAAGAAGAAGTACATTTGGGTCAGGCAGCCTGCATAAGGGATGGATGGGACTTGACTCTGCATGTTCTTCACCAACTTGGGCATTGTAACAGAAGAAAAGTAGAGGTCAGAGAAGGACAAGTTGCTGAGTAAAGAATACATAGGTGTGTGAAGATTAGGATCCAGTTGTATGAGCACAATGATCAGCATGTTCCCCAGGATGGTGGTAATGTACATGGCAAGGAACAGAGCATAGAACAGATGTTCATACTCTGGCTGTATGGGGAGACCCAGGAGGAGGAATTCTGAGAGGAGAGTTTGATTTCTTCCTTTCATGCTCTGTCTCCAGCATCTTTAAGAGAAAATAATAGGGTCTCTTAAAATCATAAACCTATTTCTATGATTCTTGGTCTCTTAGAGACTATGCAATAATTGATCTCACTTTCTATATCTGAAACAATCTCTACAACCCCAAATATGCCACATATTTAAATCTCATCCACTTCTTGACTCAATTTCTTCTCATTACATTACAGGATTAACCCTTCTCTTTCTAGATACTCTGATGGATTGGCTTCTGTGTAGTCAAACTGATGTCTCATATTTCCATGGTTATTTCATTCTCAGCAGTTGTAATTTTTTCCTAACACTTCATCTTATATCACTATGAGATTTTGTATGAAATACTATTCACTTATAATTCCA